ACTTTTGGGAAACAAGGATGTATGTCTAAAGGACATGAAATCACATGAACATGATTTCCTGAAAGCTACTGACCGCTGATGAAATTGAACCATCTTTTTTGTCTAATCAGCTCTTTTCCCACTCATTCCCTTATTCTTGAAAGAAAAATCAGCATTTTTGTAGTGACTCAGTTAAACTGAGTTGGAATGTACAATTTTCTTCAGGATACATCTGTTATGGTCTCCTGACACAACTCGGGTTTATTTTACTGCCCCTTTGACAAAACCACAGAACTTAAGAACAGCATGACCTTACAACACAGGATATCGCCCCTAAAACCTCCCGCTTCAAACATATGCCTGTACAGTTAGAGTAGATGCTGCATTAACATACCAGACAGTGTAATCCCTGTTAAACATTGTTGTTTTGACTGCACTGAGAATAGAGCATTGGTACTAGTTTCTCAATTAGCAGATTTTGACTGGTATTCCTCTTTGAGTATGGACTTGAAATGGAGCATACATAGGTGGGGGCAGAAGTCTATCATCTTGAACATGCTGAACGTGTATAAATACAGTACCTATCCTGTGTGTAGTTTCCACTTCAGAATAAAATAAATAAAAAGATAATTGTAACATTTCTCACAACTGCAACTTTATTTCTCCTAATTGCATAATTTTTTTCAAAATGTGACATGTCTCACAATTTGACTTTGGATCTTACAAATGTGACTTTATTTCACATTGACTTTGTGACTTTTGTTATTTGTTATTTTAAATGTAATCTCACAATTTAAAAAATAAATAAATAAAGAGTACGTTTTAAAAATGTTTTTAAATCTCTTATGTTCAACAAGGCTGCATTTATATGTTAAAAATACAGTAATACAGTAATATTGTGATTTTTGTATTTATTTACAATAACTGTTTTCTATATAATATATTATAAAATTATAAAATGCAATTTATTCCTGTGATGGTAAAGCTGAATTTTCAGCAGCCATTAATTCCATTCTTCAGTGTAACATCATCCTTCAGAAATCATTGTAATATGCTGTTTTGCTGCTCAAGAAACATTTCTTATTATTATAAATGTTGAAAACAGTGGCACTGCTTTATATTTTTGTGTAAACAGTGATACATTTTTCAGGATTCTTTGATGAATAGAAATTTCAAAATAACAACATTTAAAAAATAGAAATCTAATAATGTAACATTATAAATGTCTTTATTGTCACTTCTGACCAATTACATCTGTTACAGTTATATCTGTTACAGTTTACATTCATTGGTTTATCTAGTCTGAGCAGTAGCGGACAAGACTAGAAATACCACAAGTGCTGAATAAGCATGCGGATAATGTGGGTGGTCTTCCACAAACCCACTTAAACAACACACACACACACACACACACACACAGAGAGAGTTTCCCCACTGACCTCCATTCCACAGGCTGAATTCATGCAGGTCTGACAGCAGTAACTGTGAGCACGTGAGCTTCAAGCAGCTGGAGGGGGGCCAGCTGGCCAAAGTAAAACAGCATGAAGGGTCCTCGGGCCTACAGAGAGGCATCTGGGAACTATTAAAACTGGTCAAAAACAGTGATGGTGTTTGCCACACAGAAAAATGATTCATTATAAAATGCATTATCAACAAATACATTATTTCACTATTAAAACTCTCCAAAGGCAACACAGAAAGAGATATTATTTAGGTGGCAAAATTAACAGTTTAGAAAATGCAATTCAATAGCTCTTCCGATACGATTGACCTGTTTTTCAGTTCTCTCAGCTGCTCACGTCTGGAACTGTTTTTGTTCATTATATCTTCCTTATATTTATTTGATTAGGCTATTTAGTCAGCTATTGTTACAATGTGTTAGTTTACAGTTTTTTTTTTTACCAATTGCTGACATCCCTTTGTCCTATCTGTGGTCACATTTTCAAAACTCTACACACAATTAGCACAACATCGGTCTGTTGTGACCATATCATTAACACAATTCAGGTTGTTTTCACACAATATTCAGTCAATTAACACGTTTCTAAAATGCTTAAATTTTCTTTTCACACAAGACCATACCAACATCATGGATCTTTCTTATCTTTTTACAAATGCTTAAACACAGCATGACAGAAATGAAGACCTAATGTTACAACATTTAAATATAGTGTAAAGCCTCTATACTTCTGCAACAACAGCAGCTCAAAAGTATTGAAAAAAATCTCTCTATATGAAATATTGTAACAACTGATAAGCATTTTTAAGTAACAGATCACTGAAACATTTAGAAATAGCTGATTCCAGTCTCAGTTGGAGGAATAGTCAGGTGTTGATGCCCTTTCCATTACATCAACATAGAGTAAAAAAAAAAAAAAACTCTTTGAATTGGTTTTGTGGATGCAGAACAACACAAAGAATCAGAGAGAGAAAAAAATAATGCCTTGGAGAGGGAGAGGAATAGTTGTAGGAAGGAGAGGAGTAGTTGGATCAAAAAAAGGGAGAAGAAGAGATAGGGGAGAGGAGTAAACTGGATTATGCATTTTTTATGTTTGTTTGTTTTCCCCCTTACACATGTGGAACCTATGAAAGCTTATTTCTGCCATGAAATATAAAGGGTAAGGGTAATTGTGACTTTTTTAAATCTCACAATTCTGCCTTTTTTTCTTGCAATTGAGAATTTATCTCACAATTCTGATAAAGTCTGAATTGCAAGATGGAAACTCGCAATTCCAAGAATAGAAGTCCAAATTGTGAGATAAAAAGGTCACAATTACCGTTTTTACTTTTTTATTCTGTGACGGAAACAAGCTTGCATAGTAACCAAAGGCCATATATGTTGGAATTTTTTGTTGATGACTAGCATCAGCTACCATGGGGCACCATCCACATCCAACCCCCACCCACTGGACAGCAATTTCAATCAAGGTTCCAACTGAATTTCTGCATGGGGACCCTGTTTTTTCTATTGTACATTCTATACAGTAATGATTCATTCCGTTTTAGACAGTATGTGGCCAAGAATGAACACATTCAACACTTAAAAATGTAAAATGGGTTTCAGTTAAAGGTAACTAGATTACAAAAACAATGGATTTTTATATTGTCTATATGCAGGTAGAACTGAAACATGACAAGTAATTGAGTTTTTGTAAAGCCATCAACTGTTTGTATTTTGACAGTCACTGTGCTATGATTGACTATATGTGCCTATTGGATAGAAAAGTAGTGCTAATGTTTTGACCGAATGATTTTGAATCGGGTTCGCTGTGTTTTGATTGAGTTAGTATGTAGAAAAAGGTATTCAGCATTTTGAAATGTAGAGTTTGTATTTATTTAACAAAATGTGGTTTTGGACGGAAAATTAACTTTTTGGCTAATTGTGTGATCTGTTGCTGTGTTAAGAGTTTAGAAAAAAAGTACTTTAAGTATAAGTAAACGCTTTTTTAAAAATCCTTTACTATTTTGGAACATGATGAATACCCTGTGGTAATTATTAATACACTACCAAAAAATAAAAATAAATAAATAAAAATAATTAACGAATGCAAGAATGGAAAAAAATGCCCGCAAAAATCCACGAAGTTTAAAAAATGTTTATTCATTTCATCCCATTACTACATAGAATGGAGAACAATCGTGTGCCTGGCAGTGATGGAGTAGGAGCGGTAGGACATCTAGCGGTAAAAACGAGAAGTGCAGGCTGGGACTGAAAGACGTGTCTTCATTTGAGCTTCAGTTCACCTGACTAGCACCGTCTGAGGTGTTTGTGGCTATAATATACAGCCATCGGCATGCATGGTCAGGGTTATCATTTAAATAATTTATTCAGTAATAATTCAAATTTTCTGCGGAAACAATTGTATCAAGAACATGTTCAACATATGCATTTTCTAAGTGGTCTTACCAAAGAATTCAGCCTAGCTCAACTTCAGTTAACGTTCGCTCTTTCCTCCTACCCAAGATCACATTTTCAGCCTCGGTTTTTAGATATTGTTGTAAACGTTGTTGTGAACACCTGAAAAACTGTCATACAGTTGAAGTTTTACAAAGCGTTTGCCTGACGAAATGTAGTTTGGTGGCGTATTCACCTTGTAAACGCAGTTTTATCCAGGGCTGACTCACGCAATTGACACTTTTCTCACGCCACACGTCCATTTTCTCACGCAGTAGCAGTTCTCACGCTTAAGTTGAAAATGTAATTATCGGTGATTTGCATTGGTCACATTGGCATTTAAAACTATTCAACATAAACTCACCCTTCTGAAAAAAATTAGATGGCCAGGCTGGTTTTTGTACCATGCTTGCTAGTCAACCAACTAGAAACACCAGCGTACCATTTTTTTTTTTTTTTTTACTGCACCGTCTCATAGAATAAATTAGGAACATATATAGTACACTGTAAAAATGCAAAGTAAAGTAAAGTAAAGTAAACCAGTGTTTTTACTGCTTCAGAGGGCATTATATTCGTGGATGAAAGTTCTAGTGTCAGTCAGCGGCCAATAGATGGCAGTATTGGCCTTCGTCTTCAACACGAATGTGTGACACGAAATCTAATGAATATTATTATCTCAAAGCAAACCATATTTCATTACTACAAAAACAGTATTTCCTTTCTGTTTACCTACGAAGTAATAATAAAAAAAAAACGCTATAGTTACAATTCAAGTGGAAAAAAGAGAAATCATTACGTTCAGCGCATTCCTCCTCATCAAATAGCTGTTGTTTTAAATTCCAATCATAAAAAAAAAAAACGTTTCTTAGACATTAAAGGCATGGAACACCATCGCTGTAACTTGGTTCTTGAGGAAGTAAACTTGAAATGCTGTTCATTTGTCGGACAAACCACTCGTGTCTCCTACCAGGACAGAGCGAGACGCCAGTCCCTTTGACTGACGTTCTCGTCCGCCAATCAATTGAATGGATGTGTGGCGAACCTCCAATCACAGCAGAGAAGGGGCGGGGCTTTCTCGGAATAGTCTCTTCGCTATTACGTCATGCGCGAACAGCTGGTTCGTTGCAAGAGCTGAAAATGTGGACAAGCGTAGCGATATAAAAATCGCGTCCGTGCCGTCGGGGCGTAAACAGTCAGTTTATCACGATGTGGTGGCTGGAAGGGCTTAGGTCGGGGATGGGCCGTCTGGAGATCCTGTTGCTTGTTTACACCTTGCTCTGCTCTCTCGGAGGTGAGTCGTCCAGTGAGGGTTGAAGTGCGATCTCTATCTTGATGCAGTGGAGCTGTCCTTTGTGCTGGTGCTGAACTACTTCACTGAATGGCTTGGCCGTAGCCTGTATAACATTCAGCGCTAGAGCACTTTGGCCACCCAGCAGGTGGAATGCGTTTCTGCTTTGCGCTGATGTCTTATTTGTCTTATTAATGTTGTCCTAGGCACATCCCCGAGAATAAAGCACGGACTACACTGTGCTACATTCTTGAGGAGCTTCGCGCGAGAAGTGAATGCTTCTTTATGTCTAGCAAGACTTCTATCATAATCTCGGGCTAAACTGAGAGCAAAGTAATTATGTATCACGTTCCGTATCGGAACACACTTTATTGCCTTATATCCCTAATGCACGCTGGCCTATATTGTTTTAACTCAGTTTTATTCTATTGTAGCCAATAATCAGTTTTAGCGTGATTCCCATAGAATCAGAATCAGTTGCCGTTGGGAAATATGTAGGCCAATTATTGCTTTTTAATGTTAGCGTGTAAGTCTCGAGACTTAGGCTACCTCTAGTCATCAAACGCTTGATTGCGCAAGAAGAGCGCCGAGTTGTTTCTTGTTTATCTCGAGATGCATTTGTGTAGATCGCATCGATAAGGAAGTTAATCTGGCTGCCAGAGCAAGACAATACCTTCGCTGCGGTGCCTGAAAGCGCATCTGATGGATGCTGTGCTGCTTTAGTGTCAGCTGTAGCTACTTGAGCTCCGACACTGACTTCACATCTCTTGCTGTTCTTAAGTACGACAGGAATAACAGGCACTGTGTTCTTCGCTGTCTTTTGAACTCTATTTAAAAAAAAAACTTTATTCCAGTATACGGCGATGATTGTATGATAATGAACAGTAGCACACATCACAAACCTATATAGTAGAGTATTATTATATATTTGCTGGTCCTTTTTGGAAACGTTACAAGGTTAGTGTGCAGTTATTTGTTTAAAAAAAAAAAAAAAGATATTGGCGAACTTAACTTGTATTTAGATTTTTTTACACTGTAAAATGTGTTATTATTATTATTATTATTATTATTATTATCATTATAACATTTTTTTGTTTTTGTCATATATATATGCAGCAATTCTTGAAAATCGATTTTTTTTCACTCTTTATTTTGTACAAAACTGCAGAACATGTGCAACGAGAAAAGTTGTCTATTGTGGAAAATGTTTTCCATTTCCTCCAGTGAATACCTTTTTCTTTTTTATTTGTTTACTTTACTTACTGCAGATGAGATTCATAATGCATGAGCTATTCATAAACATCACCTGATTAACAGGGCACCAAACACTTTGCAAGGAGACACGCCAGTCACTGGACTTGGCTGCTCGCTCGCATTGATCACAGTATTGACAAGCGGCAGGAACAGAGTGATGCTCTGAGGCTAGCACAAAGGAGCAAGACCAATGAACCATCCAGTCTCATGGGAGAACGAGTCAGAGCAGACCAAAGAAAACAGTTCAATGTGACAGACGCAGACAAAGCTGGGCTGAGACTCAGTGAGTGAGAGAAGAGTCCCTTAGCCTACCGTTTCTGTCTCTGTCTCTGTTGTTCTCTCTGGAATCTGACTGTCGCTCTCACACACTCTTAATGTTTTGACCGGGTTCGATCTGATCCTCTGTCCTTTTTTTTAAACTGTTGTGTCAACACGTTTTTCTGGTCAAAATAATTAGATACATTGGTATATCACTGAATATCAGTATCTATCTATCTATCTATCTATCTATCTATTGACAGTGTGTGTTTGTGTGTAACAAAGCTTTGTAGTATTTTGAGTGGGAGATTGACTTTTATGTTAAAATGAAGCATGCTTGTGAGATCCCATTATGCTGAGATGTGACCCGTGAAGGGAAGCTTTTCACTGAGTTTTAGTACATTACTTAACACTCACATTTACTGTGTAAGTAGGTGGCATGCTATTATTGAGTCGAACTCAGTTTAACGTATGAGGATGGCAGCTGCTGTTAAGGCAGCACTGGCTCATCTGTACCAACAGCTATAGTTTAGATGTTGAATGACCAATTAAGATTTATTCCTGCTGTGAAGCCAATAGCTTAGTTGTGATGTCAGTTTGTTGGCCAAACCAGCTAATTTGTGCTGGGAATTTCCTGTCGGGTTTTACATTTATGTGTTTAGCAGATGCTTTTATCCAAAGCGACTAACAAAAGAGGAAAAAAGCAATTAGTTTATATATATATATATATATATATATATATATACTGTATATATCTGTAAAAAAAGTCTGTGGTTAACATTATTTGAAGAGACTTTCATGTTTTGTGTTATAGCTTAAATAGTGTAAAAAATGTTATTTTTTTAAAAAGTTGTAAATAAAACAAAGAATATAGGAGTGTTTATTTGTATATTCTACTTTGTTTACTTGTGTTACTTGCTTTTTCTTTGTAATTAATTTTGAAAATTACTTTTTTCCATGCAGTCATTCCTTAAATATGAATTATGGAGCCACTGTGTTTTAAAAAATGTAAGTTGTTAAAAGCCACAAAGGATGTTAATTTATGTACTTAACAAATTGGACAATTTGGAAATTCTTTATGTTTTTAAATCACACAACAAGCTTTTATAACTTTTAGGATTTTTAGCAAATATCAAATTAAAAGATCTTATATAGCCTAGTTGTTACTGCAATGTTGTAAGAAGCCTATTTGTTTATTGTTTGTTTAAAAATACTTTGATTTTGCCATGAAAAAAGCTGTTGATGCTGACAACAATAATATACAATAAAAATAAAGAAAAATAAAGAAATTCATTTTCAAAATTCACTGAAGTTATGAATTTGTGTCATTTATGTCTCTTTAAGTAATGCTAACTGTTTACTCATAAATCAAAACCGGTATTCTGAAAACCCATCGGAAATTCCTGAGGAAACCCATGGCTATACTGTACTTCCTGTGCTATACTATACAAATATACTATACTTATCAAATATGCAAAATTATAAATGTCTCTTCAGTTCCTTTGTGTAAGGCCTTATAGTATATAATAGGCTATATAGCCAATGACTACTAACATTTCGTATGAATTTGAAATATTTCACAAAGTCTTCATGCCTTTGCTTTACACTCCTGTATAACACAGCACAAACATTGGCTCCATCAGCTGTCCCCATGCAGTGACGCATATCACTTTTACTCACAAGCAAGTCCGAAATCAATTAAAACGCTGCAAGATGAACAGCGCCACAACAAACCCGCAGGGAGATTTAGGGCTTCATTACTTTGCTCAGTCTGATGAATGCACGTCACTGCTCTCTGATTGATGCGACACCATCGCATAATTCAATATGCACCGCACCAAGATGCTAATCTCAAAGTCTCCGGTAACTAATGGAAGTCTGCTTTTGTGATGTCTAAATTGTTGAGCACTGTCAAAAAGTTCTTCAGATGGTTGAGTCATGTGTGCATCCGAACTGTGGGAAAATCTTACAGTCAGTTATAAAGATGTGGGGAAAAAAGGATTTATAAATAATAAATGGAGCCCTGGATAAACTCTTGAGATTTTTACACATGGAAACCTTCTAGCTTCTCTCTCTGTTCCTCAACATCTTATGATTGGGGCTTCTCCCTTTATTGAGAATAATGTCCTTAGGTCTGTTGCCTTTTATGTAATGAATGCTTAAATCAAATTCTTTTTACTTTGCCAGAGAAATTGCTAGAAGAAAAGCAGTAATCTTCTTCTGAATGTAAGAGCACAATGTGTAGTTGTTAATTGGCACAACCAGACAAAAATCAAAACAAGCTCTTTGAAGTTATATTGCATAAAAATATAATTGCCAGAGAAAGATTTGTGAAAATGGTCACACATGATATGAGTGATTTCATGTTAAAACAATCTTGAAATTTGTATATTGTTGAAAACTGCAGTGATAACTAATATGTTTCGTGCTTAATTTAACATACAGATGGTAGAGTTGCTTTAATCAGGTTGAGTTCAGTACAACATGATATAATTTTACTTTATGCATTTAGCAGACGCTTTTATCCAAAGCGACTTACAGTGAATTCAGGCTATACATTTTTAGCAGTATCTGTGTTCCCTGGGAATCGAACCCATGACCTTTTGCGCTGCTAATGCAATGTTTTACCACTGAGCCACAGGAACATATCATGACTTAAAATGTGCTCTACTGGTTGAGAGGCCTGTTGAAGGGATAAGGAGCTTTTTCTACCTGATCTGACACTTAAAAATGAACTGCGTTGGTGTAATCTAATGAAATCTGGTTAAATAATTTAGATTTTGGTTTGTAACTAGACCTATTCATTAGATGTCTGTCCTGTGTATCATTGCGTTTCACTTGATAATGTTGAGTTTTTATATTTATATTTTATATAAAGATTTGTTGTATTTAATATTAAAAAACAGCAGAAAAGTTACTGTATTCACGTGATAATGTCATAATGTAGGTTCATTTATCTTTCTGCTCTATTTATTTATTTTTGCTCATAACCTCAAACGTCATTGCTTGCTGAACATGTGCAGAACAAAACCTGGAACTAAAATCAAGACATTTTCCAGGGTCACCAATTGATCATTTATACTATTTAGCAAGGATGAGTGATTACGATTGTATCATCATCGTGGAATAATTCAAGACACTTTTTCCCTCCAGTTTGTTTCAGAAACCTATGAAATAGCTGACAGCTCTAAAGATCAGTTTGGCTGTGAAAATAATGTTCAGCAATTTCGCAATACAGTAGTGCACAAAACATCATTAAAAAAAGTCCACCAAATAGGTGAAATTATGTTGTATAACGGAGTCATTGACAAAATGTAATTGCTAATCACTGTTCAGCAGTTTGTTCGACCAACATTGCATGTTTGTACATTGCAGTCCTGTATATATATGCAGAGAACACACATACATATAATATGCAGAGAGAGGATAAAAACACTCACTTCTATGACTTTCAGGAAATACAGCAGGTAATTGATGAAGGCAAAGATGTT